CCCCCCCCCCCTCCCGCCCAACGGCATTTAAACACTGAATTCAGTAAGATTGAAAAATATTCGTTTGTACGTATTTTGTGCTTTGAAAAGTTTTCTTTGTATTTACAAAAAAAATTATACATCAGTAATTTGATAGAACTGAAATTCAACCCAGTTTATACTAATAATCATGATTTTTTTCTGTGTTGCTATAATGTACTCAGGGGAATATGATGCTTGTGATGTTACTCTGAGTATATATCCACACCGGGCAAGCTTGAAAAATATATGCCTGACCACGGTGGGAATCGAACCTACGACCTTTGGAATACTAGCCCAATGCTCTGCCAACTGAGCTACGCGGTCTGGTCGGTTCGAGTATGTGATATTTTGGAACAGAATCTAGTTCCTTCGATATCAATGTAATCTAATAATCATGATTTTTTTACTTTACACCATAATAACTATTTTACTTACTAAGATAATATCCAACCTCGTACCCAGGGCCTTTGCGCGGTTCAGAGGCTCTGGTACGGGAAGCAAAGGCCCTGGTAAACACTGGTCACGTGTGTCAAAAATATTGGACATTTCGTAATAATTTAGTTTTCAATCCGGGGGGAGCGGAGCCGATTGATTTTGTCAAACATGGCAGCGTGAAGGCGCGACGTTTTCGGGTTTTATTATTTTACGATAAATAAAACTTTCCTAGTGAGATCTAAAGTGGGTATATATTAAAACGATGCATTCTACGAGCTTTCTTTCAACAAATGTTGGAATAGCGAACGGTAATACTTCAAGATCAAGGATCAAACTGGGAGAAAACTGGTCGAGTGATCTGTCTAATATTATAAAATAAACTGTCTATTTTGTATCCATGCCGCTGCTTGTGTGCGACGTTTTATAAAGAATTAAATAAACATTGTTGATTAATAATGATTATAAGTAATTTTTACGTATTGATCAAAGAATATCACTTGGGATTTTATTGTACTTTCATGGAAGGATACATACTCAGTATAACAATGAAAGGGACATCTATGGAAACGAAATTCTTCGTGTGTAAACATGTAGTTATCAAAGCAGAATATTTTAACAGTGACAGGTTGGTTTCCGTATGTATGTAGTTTAAAATACAGTTGTGAATGAAATTATACACAGTATCTTGAAACCTTTGTGTGTGAGTTAATTTCATATTTATATTTGGGATGTTTATTTCTCATTGTCTGGAAGAAAGGGGTAAAGGCAAATAGAAGTCCTGAAAATACAAGTCCTGAAGGACATGTATAAACTTTAGTAACAAATTTATTAGGAATCTGATATACAAATGTATGCAAAAACCAGACTTAGGAGTCTAAAGGCAAATAACAGTCTGTACTGGGTGTGTGTTCACCTATTTGTTTACATTTGCAGTTACATTAGTTCATGATTTATGAAATTTGATAATTTTAGTCATGGCAACAAGTCACTGATAATTTTAGGGTAAATATTTTTCTGAAATACTTCATTTGTCAGTTGTGTCTTATAGTATATAATAAATATCTTGGAAAAAGGTGTAATTGTACCCTGTCTAATAGCTTTGGTTCAATGCAATTGGCAACATCAGCAATTGGGCTGTCTTAGAATTCATGAAAGACCTTTGCTAAAACCCCAAGAAAACATGCCTTGTATCAGGAGATTAAATGCTCTGTTTCAACCAGATCCACCACACAAATGTTATTGTTGCCATTGTGACTGCTACCCTTTTTACAAATAATACACTGATAGTTGAGCACCAAGATTGACATATCATACTGTGTTTTCAAATATCTTTGGCTCACAATTTCCATAATGATGGTCAATTATTCCACTTGCTGAGAATACTATAATTACTTCTTTCCCATGGAGGTAGGGCTTAACAGAGAGGCTTAATAAATATGGTTACACTGAATTTTATCAGTAAGTAAACTTCATATTTTACATCGCGAAACAAAAGATCACTATATTATGCATGAATTATATGTCACTTTCACTTGGCACAGAGTGCATGAACACACCAAATTCAAACATTCACTGGCTGTTTCTAGATGAAATGATTTTTTGTGCAAACAATATAATTCATGAGGGGGGAAAATGCATACTTATATGTGTGCACATAGTTTCAAGACCAGCTAGCAGGGTTGAAACCAACTTTCCCAGTTATGATTGGAGCTGATGAGAACATGACCTTATAGTTTTGAACACAAAATGGAATGGGACTTCATCTGGGTGGCAATATATTGGCATTCACCCACACCAAGGCAATATCGCACAATATACAAGAATGCACCCATGCAGGTTCTGCCTTCTCACCAGCACAATTGATCAAGTCATACACATTCATTGCTGCCAATCTCTTTATTATTTATGTCTCATTACAATTAGTATGTACAATATATTTTCATTATCAGCATTATCATTACAACTTGTGCATCACCAGTATCATCACAACTTGTATTTCACTAGCATCATCATCATTATTCTCACCATTCTACTTTCATTTATAGTCAATCACAATGAATAAAAAAATTTCCTATCACACCACTCATATTACTTAATTGCCCAAGGTTAAGGCCATTTCACAGCACTCCAGGATCTGAATACCTGCAACCACCTTTTCGATCTAATACTAAAACAGAAACAAACAACCATTGTCTTACTGGAATATCATTGCCATAAAATCAATGACTGTCATTTGAAACCACATTTTGCTGTATTAGTGACAGCACAACTGCTCCACAACTAAGGTAAATAGTAGGGATGTAGTAAGTTAATACTGATTACTGGTAATTGTCTTTCTACATTTTGCTTACAATCAAAGTCCAATTATAGGGAGCAAGTATAGAATATCCAGCCACTTTTTATTATTCACTTAACCTTACAGTACCCTTGACAAGTAAAACTGTCTAGTGTTGGACAGAGAAAAATAACAAAGCATGCTGTATTTGTTTCCTTTGGATGGGCAAAATACTAAAATTGAGGGCTATGGAGATTTTATGGCAAGAGGTGGGGGAACATTTTCTCCAGTAGAATGTATGTTGGCCATTGGAATCTTTTTAAATTAAAAAATTAATGTAATCTAATTTTCTTGCATACAGAAAGTTAGGTGCTGGGTAAGGTTGGCATTTTCACACTTTTCTATTATCATCGTACTATTCTGTTAAGTTTTTAATGGATGAGTCAGAGACCAATGGTTGGAATGAGGGCAGTTAATTTGTAATTCTTGCATGTATTCATTTATGAACTTTTGACTACTGTAATAGTCAGCCAGTTAAATAAGTATTTTACTGGGATACAGCTTGACGATTTTAGATGTCAAACAGAACTCCAGTTATGAAGGACTGAATATTTTCTTAGCAAGCTGGAACAGAATTAGATTTTGATTTTAGTGAAGGATAGAGATAACAAAAAAAATGTATATCAGGCATGCAGGAGGGTTTATATCCAAAAGCGAAAGATGGAGGAATAATTAGACGAAGAAAACTAATTATACAAACAGAGAGCCACAAATCTGCTGGAATTTAGGATATATAAACTGATAAATATTTGAGATTAGTATAATTTCAGTAGTAAAAAATGGATTTCGAGCAATTTGATTGGTTAACTGAGTAGCAAATCTGAGGCATTATTTACTACCTGAGTAGTAAATAATGCTTCAAAATGGCTTCCCACAGTCGTTTTGCAGAAATTTCTGTTGAGGAAATTGAACAAATAAAGGACAGTGCAATTCCACAAAACACAAAACTAGCAACAAAATATGGGATTAAACTTTTCAAAGGTAAGGAGTGTTTTTGTAATTAATTTATTAACAATTTGTTTGACAATTTACAACTGGCAGTAAAAAAAAGAGCGACCGGGAAAATTACTTGTCTTTTTTAACTATTTTCTACACCAGAATGGTTCTCAGACCAAAACGAGTTCACAACCGAGTTCGAGAACATGGACATTGATGGCCTCAATCAATGTCTATCAAAATTCTACATGTCTGCTAGAAAAAAAGATGGTTCTTACTACAAAAAGGCAACCTTAATGTCATTGCGAGCTGCGTTGGATCGCCATCTTCGCTCACCACCATATAACAAAAAATTCTCAATTTGTGACCCGGTCGCCTTTCAAGAAGCAAATAAAACATTGCATTCCTACCTGAAACACCTCATGAGCACTGGAAAAATTGCTGGAACTGTCCACAAAAATCGCTTGACACCTGAAGCGGTACAACTCCTTTTCGAGAAAGGCGAACTTGCTTGCGCTGAAACCCGTGATCCTCGCTGTTTAATGCAAACAGTTT